TTATGTATAAAAAAAAATATTAATAATAAAAAAAAATTTCCACCGGTTGATCGATTGATCGATCGATCGAACACACAAAAAACAAAATAAAGAATGAAATAAGAAAATATGAGATTTGCGAATAAAACAGAACAATGAAAAAGGAAAAAAAAATTGTTGACAGTAACACACGAAAATACACGACAAAAGCAAAACCATAAAAAAATAATATAAAAAATATGAAAGACAATACGACACACTTATACAGACTTCTTGACAGGAGTTTTACTACCGCAGAACTGTCATTTACTATACGATAAAGTAAAACGTCGAGTGGTTGTATATTTTTTTTTTTATTTTGCTTTGTCTCTTATTTTATTTTAATTTTTTACTTTCTTGTTTATGTCTCTTCTGTTGTTGGTTATAAGTATACAAAAAAAAAAAAAACAAACATTCAGGATTTTGTAAAACGGGGGACACGGCAACAAAAAAAAAATTGTAATATCATGTCTGCTAAAAATGAAAAAAAGAAAAGCACAAAAATACGAAAATTGCACACAAAAAGTATAGACGACAAGTTTAATGTGTTCCATTCCACTCCAAGAGTATACAAAGATTTTATTTTTAACACAAAATGCGTTTTAGTATAATATGATGGTGTTTAGATTTAGTACTATGATGGCTTTGTAAAACAATAAAAAAAAGGAGAAATAAAAGGAGAATAAAATGACAGAAAACATAAAAGAATCCACACACACACACATATTTATGTAAGTGCATGTATAAATGTATATATCGAAAAAAATGGGAAAAAAGGAAGGCGAGAAAAAAATATACAAAATTTTTTTTATACGTATTTTGGGGCAATCTTAATCTATTTCTCCCAGTTGGGCCGTTTTTGGAGCCCTCTAGTCTGATGTTGACGGATCCAAATTAATAAAGGAATACGATGATTCCCCTGACGAGTTGGAGAGATATTACAAGATAGTCTTTATGCTGTTGTCAGAATATTACGGTATAGACGGGTATGAAAAAAATTCTCGAGAGTGAATATCCACGTACCGGTGACATGTTTTGCGTTGCGTCATGGGCGAATGGGAGGAGCGAGCCAGCTTTGATCATTTGAACATCTGTCGCGACCTTTGTCAGTTAAAAAAAAATTTGTGTCTCCTTTAAAATCGGAGCGAACAGATTTGAGGTTATTAATGGATTTATTTACTGGACATTGCTTCTCGATGGTCTATTTGAACATAATAGGCAAAACGGAGAGCACGATCTGTCACCACTGCCTTGAAGAGAGCGAGACTTTGAAGTATTTGTTGTGTGAATGCGAAGCGATGGATCATTTGCGACTGAGATGATTTGAAGTGGGTTTGTGACATGACTGCAGTCCCTCAGCTCAACATGGCAACAATAATATAATTTATCAGGGGACTAGAAATAGCGTTAATGCTAACAGAGACAAACAGCTTTTGGGTCGATGTGAAAGGGGGGAATAGGCCTATTTGACTGAAATATTATACTGTTAATTTATAATTTTAATTTTTATGTCTAGCTGTTATATATATATAGTTAAAACTTACCAATATCTTTGCCCATATAATATTCCTTCATATATTAAAATAAAACACCAACAAATCTCAATATTTTTCACTTATAAATTATTTTTCAGAAGAAAAAAAATCTTTTTATCCCTGTAACACAATTTCACAAACACGTGTTAACTTAACTATAACAAAAAATCATAATATGATAAAAGAAATAAAACAAGAACAAAATAAGAAATAAAATCAAGAAAACAACAAAAAAAAATTTTATTTTATAAACTTCCGTTCAAATGTATAATTTGACTAAATGTTCGCAATTATTGATTTATATGATTATCCACAATTAACAAGCAAAAGAATAAAAAAAAATTTGCAAAAATATTTTATGAACACATCCGTACATATGAAAAGTGTACCTACGTAGGAAAACTACTATTCACGCATACACGCATAAACTTTCAAATTCATACACTTAAATGAAAATTTTGTGAGAGTTTAAAATTTTTAAATTCGAAATTTCCTGAGAGTTTTTAATATTATTTTCTTATTTTAATTCTTCTTTTTCTTAAAAATGTTCCAACTGAGGAAAAAACGAAAATCAAAATCCAACGCTTAAAACGAAAAATAAAAATATTGTTGAATGACAAACAATAACTGCAACATCACACAGCTACCGTATAAATTAAAAAAAAAAAACAAAAATAATAATAATAAAAAAAAAAACGGCGCTGCTCGTACAAGATCTACAATTTGACTGACAAATACATTCATATTCAAAGTAGTAAGTTAATAAAAATTATAAAAATTAAAAAAACAGAAAAAAATAAAATTTCGATATGAAAAGTGCATTGAATAATTATTACGCATTTCAGTTCAGCAACATTTTAAGATGCAAAAATACACAGATGACACACTATGCAATCGTGCTATGTAATTTTTTATATATGGTCAGCTACTTTGTCTAGTAACCGAAAACTTAAAGTATAAAGAAGAAATCGATTAATATGTCTGCCGAGTTTACCATGTGCTGTGCATGTGTGCAAAATCCTATTTTATCATATCATATGCTTATCATATTTAATTTGTGAATAAAAATGAAGGCCAATTAAAAAATTTGACATTATCTGAGCTTATTTTGAAGTTGCTTTTAGACGTAATTTACCCGAAGTTACAAATTTTAATGAACCCCAAATCTTGAATAATTTCATATAATGAAATATAAATGTTACGAGTATTGAAAGAAAATACATGCTATTTGAAACAAAAGACTTAAAGGAGAAACTTGTTTTTTAAAAATTTATATTGGGATTGGGAAATATTAGGGCTAGTTCTGAAAACACCTGAAATTCGATAAAATTTTATTAGTGATTCATCATTAAAAAAATATAAATCATTTCTGAATTTTATAGATTGAACGCTTTAATCTATAGTATTTGAAAGCTTTTAATCTTAATAACGACTATCAAATCTTTGTGGATAATATTCCCGTTATGAAAATATAAAACCATCTACCAGAAAAAAAAGTTAGTAAGTATTCTTCTCAGGTGTTCTTAAAAGTATATCGTTTCTTTTAAGGGCATTTAAGATTCTAAACCTATATAATACTCCCAACTATACACCATTTGATTTATTTACAAATATATAGGAAACACTCTGTTAAATTTTTAATAATTTTTGTTTTTATTATGTTCGCGAATATGTTTGTATTATTATTAACGAAAAAACAAAAAAAAAAAAAAATAAAAAAAAAGGATTTTTTTTCACATTATAATCAAAAGACACATGGAAACAAACGACTATGATGAAATGTGTATAGACGACAAATTTAATGACAACGGATGCACAAATGTCTGATATGGCAAACTGAAAGAAAAAGCAAAAACAAAGAAAAGGAAAATACTCAGTCAAAAGAAACGGTGAATGAAGTATAACAAAAAAATAAAAATTTTTCAGCTACAGGCGCTTATCTTTTGGCCACAGACAGTTTATTATAACAATAGCATATAATATTATAGTAGTATTGGAATCATGACGAAATTAATGTGATATTACTTTTGATATTTTATTTTTGATTTAATTTTACACTTTCTTCTTATTATAGTATGGTCATCGTTAAGTTCCTGTATAGAAGATTTATGTTTTCATTTATTTTTTGATTTTTTTTTTATTTAAATCAAATTTTTATTTTTAAGTGGGTCCAAGTAAATATAATAAGGGTTCATTTAAGCATATTCGCATGGTATTAATAATGTGAGTAAATTCAATTTTGAGACGTAAAATTAAAATTTAAATGTGATAATTATTTTATGTTCAGCTCATTTTATATTAAAATTATTGCCGCATAAATTCCATCTACCAAAATCTATCAGAATAAATTTGCATCACTACCATTGCCCTCGAAACATATTATTATATACAAAGGTCTGTGTATTTGGGAAATAATATACCTAAATAGGCAGAATCAAAACTACCTTGTACTTTATACTATAAAAATAATATAAACCCATTTAGCTGTTGTTTGTCTGACTTAAAGACACGAGGTGTGATACACTTGAGTCCTTTGGTCTCAATTTTCTTGATTATTGTCTTAAGATTATTCAATGAGAGCACAATCATACATAAAACAAAAGACTTATACGAGAAACTTAATTTTTAAAATAAAACTTTTTCAATACTTTTAAATTGCAAATTTTACAAAATTTCCTAATCCTTTTGCCGCGGAAACTAAATAAATAATGAATTTCAGTTATTAAAAATTTTAAATGAACTGGTTTTGAGTATAGACAAAATTTAATTTACGGATACTTTTATTAAATTGCGTCAACTTAAGCATTATATGAAGTTTCCCTATTTTAAAACAAAAAACCGCAACAAAAAAGTAAAAAATAAAAAAGACCTTTTGTCGCCTTTGTATTGTGGTTAACTACAATTTTATTTACAATTTTCTCACGATATTCAATATCATTTCGTATTTCATTTTTACACAATAATGAATGTATGTGTAGTAGGTCCGGCGTATATTGTATTACCATTATAAATAATAGTAAATGAAATAGAAGAGAAACTGAGTATAAGAGAAGAATTGAGTAAAAATGCGAATTCGCATTTGCATTTGCTTGATAGATTTTATTAAGTTAATAATTTGTGTCGCGCCACTAAACACTTTTATATGAAAAAAATTTTCTATTGAATAAGAAAATTTAGTTTTAGAGTTCAATCAACCATAACACAGAGCGAATGTTAAGGATTTTATTTGATTATTTATTTTAAATGTTTTGAAATTATTATAAAATTGTTGATTTTAATTAATAAATTGACTAATATTTTTGAAACTGTGGATTATTATCTCAAAATTACGGTGTTAATATTTTATTACGGGCCAGTACAGAACATAAAGACGTTAACAATGTAGTGTAAAAATTACACATTTAATAAAAAATTTAAAGAAAAATAAAAAATATAATATAAAATTACCTGTTGATGAACTAATACTACCAGCTTTTCTTGATGATCTTGTTGGTAATGTATAAATTGCTGTCGCTTTACGAAATCTTTTCATTTTAACTGGATGATTAATTCCTCCGGCTTCTGGCAATGATTGATTAAAATTTATTTGATGATTTATTTTGGCATTAAGTGATGTATTTAATGATACATTTTTTTGAGGTATTATTAAAGGTGTTTTCAATTGATTTTCTGCAATTTTTATTGGTGATGTTGATATTAAACTTGTATTTGTAATTTTAGAATTTTGTATAATTTTTTTATAATAATGATTTGATTGATTTAATTTTGGTAATTGTAATAAATCAGATTTTTGTAATTTTGTAATTGTACGGGATTTTGGTGATGAATTTGTTGAATTACTAAAAAGAACAAAAATATAAAAATTAAAGAAAGGAAAAATTATTTGAAAACAATTATATTTCAAGTCATATTTTTAGTAACTGGCATGACGGTTTTGTTGAGTAACTGCTATAACTTTAATAGGTTTTGAAAGAGTGGGCATTTATTTTAGACTTTGTGAATTAAATTATTTTCTAAAAATCTAATATTATTTTGAGATCTAAAGTGTACCATTTCCTTCAGCTAACCTTTTTAGTTTACAGGAATAAAATTTTAAATTTTCATATTCATTCGAGTACTTGTTTAACCTTTTAAATCTTGGTTTTAAATAAAATGCTATGGCATCGAGAAGCGTAATTCTTTAGGTTTTACAAGAAGAAGATAATACTACTCCATTTCATATAACAGAGTTGTAATATTCAAAAAAATTTTTTATTATAAAAAAACCCATCAATTGCTGCAATATTCCTCCAGGTACTGTATATTATACCTAAAAAAGGTTTGTTTCATTTTTAAGATAAGCTACAAAATATATGAAAAAAAATCAACATAAACGCAAAATGAAAAAAACTAAATATCGAAAAGAAAGGTCAAGACAACAAAACAAAAAAAAATATTGAATAAATAAAAAATGTGTAAAAAAGTGTGCCAGTTCAATGATGTCAGTGCAAAAAAAACAACACAAAAACCGCGTTATGTTGAAAAAGAAGGCAGCAATTACTTCAAAATGAGTCTAAAGAGGAAAAACAAGAAATGACTAAAGTGCAGCAAAAAAAATGCCCATCATGCTATTTACCATAGCCTGTATTTTAAGTTTGAATGCTGTACTGCAATTTGAAGGGTATGTACTGAGTTTATTAAGTGAAAAATCAAAAATTTTAATTGCAGTCTATAAGTGGAAACAGCAAGTTCTATTAATTTGCATTGTATTACTTTGAAATTTTTAAAAAATTAAATATTATTGATGAAAAAAAAAAAATTGATAAAAATTGCATATATTTAGGCTCATGGTGATACAATGCTAATGTTTATTTCATATTTACCTCTAATAAAATTTCAGTATACTTCTGTGTGAGTGTGAATATTTGAATTCATAAGAAAAACAAAATAATAAGGAATTTTATGCTCCAAAGATCGGTAATATGTTTTTCCGAACTCTACAGTTTTCACGAATTCATCAGAATGGACAAGAAATTTTGTGGAGAATATCTTGCAGTTGAAAGAGACCAATATAAGTTTATGTAATATAATATTAAATAATTTAATAGACTATTTCTATGTTTACCTTAAAGCTTTATGATATTTACAAAAAAAATCTGGACGTATTCTATAACGCCATAAGAATTCTTCACATATCTTAAGTATATCGGAACTATTATTAAAGGAATCAAATTCACCATCTAATCCAACATTATCATGATGATCATTATTATTATTATTTAATGTAAAATCACTATTGTGAATATTATTACTGTCATCGATACTATTATCACTACTATTGTTATCGTCATCTACTAAATCATCATCATTATTATTATGATTGCTGTTATTACGTGATTGTAAGTGATGACCATTAATGATAGTTACTTTTGGTATTAAATTACTTTTTTTTACAATATTGCGCTGTTGGTGGTAATTGTGTAAGCGATTATCAACAATATTTTTACTATTCAATTCAATATTTACATCATTATTATAATTATTAGATTTAACATTTTTTTGTTGTTGATGTTGCTGATGATTATATTGGTGATATTGTTGTTTCTTATGTAATTGTTTTTGTTGTTGAAAATTTTTAATAGTAAACGGGTTTAATGCTTCACCAATAAAATCTGGTATATGATTAAAAAAATCGGATGTTCGATCATAGCTAGCAATTGAATTACGACGTTTCTGTTGTTTATTAAGTATTTCAATATCATCAATATTAATAATTTCTTGTGATTTTTTAATTAAATCATTTGTTTGTTTTAAATCAACATATCCAAATACAGATGATGATGTTGATGTTGGTGAAAATGATGATGATGGTGATGATGAAGTTATATTACAATTACTATAATGATTTATCATCGTCGTTGTTGCTGTTGAGGTCGAGATTGTTGTGATTGGTATTGTTGAAATTGTTGGTGATTTTTCTTTAATTTGTTTTTGATACTGTTTATTTGATTGAATTCGATTATAGTTATTGTCATGAGATTCTTTTGAAATTTTTTCATCATTTTTTGTTATAATTTCTTTAAGATTTGTTATTGAAAGTGATTTTTTATTGATATTTGTTGGTAATAAACACGATTTTTTAAATTTTTCTTTAATTGTTGCTACCGATGTTATTGATGAGGATGGTTTTATTGTCGTAGTAATTTGACTATGAGTATTATTATTGATATTATGATTTTTCTTATCATTTAGATTTGGTGAATAAAATTCGACTAATTTTTTTCTAGGTGCTATTTCTGACTGAATTAATATTGTTTCTGTTGATGGTGTTGGGCGTATAGCCTGTTCATATGTTTCGTCGGGAAGCAACATATCATGATTGCTATATTAATCAAAATTTTATAGTTTAAATAAAGTTTTCTTAATCATTTTAGATGAGAACAGTGATGAGTGATGAATTAGTTCTGAAATAAAATCAAAATTATGCCATTAACAAATTAGAATATTTAATATTTTCTAATATAATATCACAACAAATAATTATCACAATTTTAGGTATCGCCAAAATTAAAAAACATGGACACTAGAGTCTTACAAATTGCTGTAGGTGAGAAATTTTATACAAGCAAGTATATGGTAGATATTTGGATCAATAAATCAAGAAAAAATCATTAAAATGGTATTCCCGAGCTGATATATCAACACCATCCATTCGTCCGAGTTTAAAATATTGAATACTTTTCCCATTCTTCTTTTCTTTTAAATAAAAGAACTTCATCTGACAGATTTTAACAATTATTTTTCTTTTGTGTCAAAAAATATATTTCGAACAATTCATTTAATAGCTTCTTATTCTTAAAAAATGGTGTGAAATTTTTATTAAATGATTTTTTCTTCCTAAACAATTGAAAGCGTTTTAAGAGTGCGGTATATATATTTCAAACCAAAATGTGTATGTTATGTGCAAAGATCTACATATCTAAAGTTTTTGATTTATTGTTGTTTATTTCAGTATAAAAAGGCCTGTAGCATTTTCTCTATGAATATTTTTTAGAATTTTGCAGTAAATTTTAAATATGTGTTTGCACAGTAGAATCTTTTTAAAAAATTAGATAAAATTGATGAGTGTATGAGTTTCAAGTTTTCTTAAGATTTTCCAATATTAAATATGATTTTCTAATAGAAAATGATTAAGAAATCTCTCATTTAATTTAAAATATTTTTTCAATTTTATTATAATTTTAGAAATAACAGCTACTTCTTTTTATATAATTCCTTCAGTCTTTGAATAAGGTAATCTAGGTAAATCCACCTTAGAGTAAGTTCTTAATGGAATCAACTGTTAAAATATTCCAAATTAATTAGAGCAGAAAATATTAATTTCATGTACGTACATTAAATGTTATACACTTTTATGCTATATCTGCATACTGAAATTAATATCTCTGATAATTGGATGAGATAATAAGAAATTTGTTATTACATAATATGTACTTAATAATCGTTTTTAGTGAATATTGCAATTAACTACATGTGCTCTTAAATTTTCAAAAGGTAATTGAATTAAAATTTCTTTATTCTCATTATTTAATTTAATTTATTTTTATTTTTTTTATTAAATTTTTTTAGAAATATATTTATATATCCGCGGCTGGAGGTCTCTCTTTTCAAATGCTATTTTAACATGGTAAATTTATGCCATTTATTTTTAGATAACAGAACTTACCTACAATAATATTCTAATTGTTTATGTATGTGAATAAATAATATTCATAAGTAATAATAGAAATAAATAATTTTAATAAAAATAATGAAAGAAAAATAAAGTTAATTTAGGTATACGAATATATTATGGCCATTTTATTCTTTAACCGCTTGTGGCAACCTGAAATTGACAATATGTTATTCTTCATCTTCTTCTATTCAATATTAAATTTCATTTGGTTTTTGTTTCATTTATTAAAAGTAAGAAAATAGGAGAAAAAAGTGGGTATTAAATTACCATTTTTTATATACTTATCTTATTTTTAAATATTTTATTGTAATTTTACTCTCGGATTAAAATTTTAAGACAAACCTATTTCTTATAAACGTTTGTAATACAATTAATAATTATTAGTAATATTGTTGCCATAAAAATGTATATAGACACCAACAGACAAAACGTAAGAGGGAAAACAATAGAATAATGATAATTTTATTTTGCTTTTGTGGAAAAATGCTTGTGGCTGATTATGATCATAAGTGGTATAAGGAAATAATAATAACTTTGTAAGAAGCAAGAGAGAATACTGAAGGTCCTCCACTTAGGTGCTTCCTGAAAGAATGTTATTTCGAATAAAGGGCCATTTGAGGAGGTAGGATTTGGAGGGTGGAAAAGCACTTGCATATTCTTTGAGGAAGTTGAGAAAACTTCGATACAACTTCTCTGTGAAGGGGTTGAACATTTACTCTCTGTGGTTGAACAGGAAGACCGTAACCAGTTACAATCAACCATAAGTCATAAATCAACCCTTGGAAGATTTTGAAATATATTAGGAGGATAGGCCGCTTGGAAGCTTAATAGTGTGAAGTTCTGAGAAAGAAATAAATTCGCATGCCTTTGTTGTATGATTATGTTAAAATCGTGTTCTCAAGGAACTCAAAATGTATTAATGAAAGCAGAAACTGAAGAAAACAGAAAGTTTTGGTATATCCCATAGTAAACAGTTAATTACGGTTATTTGAATGTCATGGTACAGTTTTTTATATTATTTTTCTATATAGTTATATCAGGTTACAAAGGCATATCACAACAAAAAAAAAAACAAAAATGCTTATATTATAGCAGTAAAAGGAAAGCAAAAACCCATTATATCCAATAATAGTCGTCTTTTGCAGCAACGTAGACAATATTAATCTTTATGACCATTAATATATGAACAGATTTTTTTGTTTCATTTTTATTTTATTATTAAATGCACATTATGCACTTCGCTTTTCTGATTGTATTTACAGTAAGTGTATGTTCTTGTGTGATCACCTGACAATAAGGTCTATATACTATTATTTTCTCTTTCTATATGTTTACTTTATTGAATCGTGTTATTATTATGTAGTTAGAATATAAATTAAATAGAAGTGAGTTTGCACCGTGATATTTAATTATTTATTGATGTACGTGTTAAAATGGAATGTGTCAATAGATATTTGATTGGGTGTCAATCATGTACATATTATAATTATAATTATTATATTAATTTTTTGAAATACAAAAAAAAAATGAAAACAAAATTGAAATAAAATACAAGTAAATCAAGTCTTATTATTGTCACTTTAATTGTGGAACTATAGAATGGCCTATAAATTTAATATTCTATAGTCGAATAATAATTTAATAATTATGTATAAGGTTAATGGATAATATGAGAATAGAATTTTTGATTTAAAAAATAAAAATTGAAAGTAGTTTTTAAGTTAAAATTAAATTTTATAAAAATTGCATTTTGTGTATAGTTTTGCCGCGAAATTAACAAATTACCAATTAGCTGTGCAATAATAAATTTAATGCTAATTGGACATGGTTGTCCATATCAAGTCATTAAGTACAGTTAATAAATTATATGAGGTTAAATTGAAATTAGGTTAAATTCTGTATTCAATTTAATGTTTCTTATAAAATATGTGCACCAGTTTTGAGTGAGTAGTTTATATACAAAATTGACTGTGTTCATATACAAAATGAAACGAATAATGGTAAAAATTAATTTATTTTTAAATTTATTTAAAATTTAATTTTCGAATTTAATTTTTTATTTAGTATTTTTTGGGTGCAAGTAGTTAAATTCTCAAAATTTTAAAATGCAAAAACTTTCAGCTTAAAATTACATTAAACCAGTACGCATGTAATAGAAATAGGCAACTACCACCACTGCTCTATCATTAATAAAGAATAAAAATTAGTTCAATTCAATTTTCACAATTATTACCAACTCTGATTTTAACCAATAATAACCAATTATTACAAATTTTTTAATATTTTATATGAGAAATAATATTTAACAACTAAATCAAGTTAATTTAAAATCCAATTATGGTTGATGTGTGTTATTACTTATTATAATTAATACACTCTCTCTCCGTGTTTACAAGTTCAAATTATTGTATTTAATTTAAAAGTATAATAATATAATATTAAATAATATTAATTTATATACAAAGTTTTTAAAGTAGTTTAAACAAGTATTTCAAGAAATAGAAAACACAAAATTCAATTTAATTTCTCATAAAATTTTCTTCAAAAATAAACGCAAAATATAAAAGTAAGTAGTAAAGTACCTAGTGTAGAGAGCACATATGAATTTAAAAAAAACTAAAAGAAAATATTGCCTAAGTTTAGGCGTGCTAGTTTTTTTAATTTTGTTTTAAAGTTATGCATTTTAAGTACTCAATATTAATTTTTGATTGATTTTCAATATTTTTAAAATAAATGGTTTATTAAAAAATTATTATTCAATAATTTAAGAGAAATAAAACTTTATAAATTATCTTAAAAATGATGTTTTAAAAAATCTAGGGAATGAATACTTTGGCTTCTGTTAATTTTGTGGAATACTTCAGCTTATGGGGCATATTTTCAGTATGCTGTCTTAGAGCTTAAATTCAGTTTATATATTTTATTTTGAATATTTTGAATATTTTTGTTGTAGGATTTGATTTTGCTTACTATACACGAACCTCTATATTGTGCTCTATATATCAATTCAAAATTCCCGTTATAATATTTTTAATATTTTCATTAATTTTTTATTAAAATCAAAATAAATTTTGAGTACAAAATTTGGAAACATTTTTAATTAAAAATTATAACTTAAAAAATTAGGTATAAAATCAAATTCAATTCATTTCTTGGTTTATTATCATTTTGAGGCTCTGATTTTTAACTGAGTCAGAGTTCAATTAGGTAGGGAAATCGATTTCGTGTTTTTCAAACTGTTTAAGTAGATTTTTGTTGCTCTTAATTAATGTCTTAATATTAATTTTACTTTTTAATCTAGTGGAATACTCGTATTATTCGAAGTAAGCGGAACATTATTGCAATTATATTTCTTGTTATGGATTCTTGTACTTCTTAAAATACTTAATATTCTGATATCGCTGGTTAGTGTGTATTTATAGGTTGTTATATAATATTACACAGACTCATGTCAGTAGGTAATAAAAACTCATAAGTAAGAATTTGCTCAATAATTCCCGATGAAATAAGAATCATTTTTAAAACACCAAAAGATCTAAAGTTAGCCGATAAAATTACTGATCCAAGCTATATGATTTGTCTTGTCAATCGTAATTTTTGTTTTGAAATTTAATATTTTTTTTAATTCTTCTTTTATGTTTAATCATCTTTAATTAAAAATTATTTTAAAGATTATAGTTTTGTAATAATTAATATTATGTTTGGGATTAATATCGTACACATATGGTT